TAACCACTTTCATTGAGATCATATTTATAATATAATTTATTGGGATCTTTTTTATTGACATGGACTTCCTTTACCTGATTCCATAGAATTTTTTCATTCTTGCAATTTTTAAGCCATAATTTGTTATTAACCTTAATTTTGAAGTTTAAAAAATCCTTTTGCTCCATATTTTTAACTATATAGGGATTACCATCGGTTTTTGCCCACCTCACAAGTGCACGCCATTCATCTGGAGTGTAAACTATCCGAGACTTAGACGCACGTTCTATGAGGGCATGGACACTATCCCCCTCATTTTGGGTGTGTCCCTTCTCTAAAAACCTATGTGTTATTGTAATACCATACTTTTTTGCAGCATACGTGTAAAAATAATAAACGATTCGGTTTCGATTCTGCCCGGCGCAATTATCCGACCAGAATCTGATCTCATCAACACCAGCATGAGCTTTTTCCTTTACAAAATCCAATAAACAACTACTGACTTCGTTAGCTCCCCTTTTTGAAATAGTTTCATTCCACATGTAACATATGGCCTGTTTGTGACCCATATCAAATACAGTAAAGTTAAAACATGATAGTTTTCTTTTGTAATAAAATATACTAATTTGACCCTGAGGACAAGTTAGAACCTTCTGGAAGTCAAAGACTGCTGTTATTATTTTACCACCAGAGTTAATTGCTGCATTCTTGTCGTCATTTTTTAATTTACGAGCTATTTTTTTGTTACGAATGTGTTTTTGATACAATACAATCTCGTCTTCTGTATGATTATTTTTACTGCCGTATATGTGACAAGTGTCACACGCATCTTTTTTGGGGGTATAAAATCCTAAATTAAAGTATTTGGAAACAATATCTCTATATTGACGTTCGGTTGAAGCCCTCTTAACATATTTTGTAGGATTAAACCATTCTTTGTATAATAAAAACATACGCCCAATACTAAGATTACCGTCCAAGTATAGCTTGTTCGATTTCTGCCTAACGTAATGAGACTCTATTGGGACAAAAGAATTGACGTGGTCACAGACACTTCTTTCCATTTCTCTATCTATTACTATTTTACGATTAGCATGACGTCCTCTTCTGTCCATGTATATATCAGAGACGCCATCAAATTTTTGGAAAGCTGTTTGAACAATTCTTTCACTCACAGCCAAAGTATTTAAAAACATAGTTTTGCAAACTGCGATCACGTCAGACGCAGAAGGGTCCAAAGAAGAGGCTATTGGTAAGCTGTACTTATAAGTATATTTACGTAAATTAGGTTGATCGGTGTTAAGACATCGATGCTTCTTTACTTTTAAACAAAATTTAACTACAAATCCCCACTGTTTTTCTTTGTTACCAAGACTCCAAAATCTTTTAAAACAATTTAGTCTTTGTTCATTAGTAATTTTCTCACTACATTTGTAACGACATTTACAAGGCATACCCATAACCTTTTCATCAACAACTTTACCCCTCTTTGAAACATATTTTTTACCCAAATTCGTTAAGCATTTCCTTTTTACATCAGACCATGATTCTCTATTTTTTGTACGTTTTTTTCGTCCTGGAGATAGTACTGAATTGGTATCTGATTCAGAAAAAGAACTTAGTCCACTTACAGTACTTGGTGAAGATGGTACTGCGTCTGTCCAGTGATCGTGTAAAGCACAAAATAGGTCATTACATGTCTTGTGACTATTAGTCGGTGAAGGCATGGGAGTAGGAATTGTTAAGGGTGATTTAGGTGTACTGGCAACAATGTTCTCAAATTCTTCGATGACCACAGGAGGAGAAGCCTCAAAACTGGTGTTGGCATCTTCTATACCAAATGGTGTTAAGTCTTCAACTAAATTTTGATCTTCATCGCCATCTGCAAATACTTCTTGCGCTACTTCCCTTAATTGGTCGACTATAATTTCCGCTCCAGGGGGTAATGGTGATTCTGGTTTTACAACTCCAAGGCCTGTAACATAGTAAAATATTTAAAGATATGTCTAACTGAGACAAAACAGTCTCAAATAAAAAGATCTAGTCATTTATATATCTATATTTAGCATTCAAACATACTGAACAAAAACCTATATAATTTTATGCCGAAGAACATAGTTGGTTCTCAATACGCTACATCAAAAATGTATAAAGTTTCCGAAGAACAACGCCGGAAGTATTCAAACAATCTGTATAATTGAAATAAGTTTGGGTGAAAAACGAAACTAGGAAACATACGACGCCAAAAACGTCAAATACCATATCTGAGGTAAATAAATAATATAAATAGAGAACATAAAGAAAACATTCTCAAAATATATTTTTTATTAAATAAATTTAATTTTTTTCATTTCCATAGAACAATGTTGTTTGTTAAGATACGACACGGAAATTGAATAATTCTATATAAAATGTTAGCCAATCGGTTTTTAGTATGAAAAAATAATAAAAGACACTTAGTAAATGTTGATAAAAATAACTTACCTTGATTGTCCGTATTTTCGTTTAAATTATTTGAAATTCTGGAATCCTGCTCGGCGAAATAGTCACTTATTTCTTCTTTATCTATCACTAACCTTAATATTTTTTGTGACCGAGACATTTTTAGGTCGTTTTTGTATTAAAATCTTTAAAAATTAACAAAAATATTGTAATAATACGCCAATGTAGAATCTATCATGTATTGTTGTTAATAAGACCGGTTTGCCGTCGAACATCGCAACTAGTGAAGATCGTCGCGCGGAGTGCGGCGCACGCGGAGCGATGACAGTCGAGCGACAGTGGCGCTACTGAACTCGCGACGATTTTCTTGGAAACAATTTTGAAATAATACTTTGTTCAATTGAATATTTCCGAAAGTACTAGGAATTTTTTAATTTTTCTTGAATATATCAATAGTTTATTATTAATTAAAGCTAATTTTGCAAAAAAGTCAATTTCGTTGTAATATCATATCTGACATTGTTCTACGACAGTGTCGATATACTCAGAGGCACAATTAACCGCCCACTTACATTTTCCGATGTAACTTCAAAAATTCATTTCGGAATTAATTTTTTCTTGGCAATATTATAGATTGGATAATATCATATATAAAAAAATAATAAACAAATCGGATATTGCTTTAATTTTTTTTTTAATGAAAAAGAGTTAGAAATTACCGAATAATAAACAAAAATAAAGGTGATGATAAATAATCTAAAACTTTTTGTTGACATTGAAAACAAAAATTTTAATAACAAGTATTGCTTCCTCTGGCTCTTATGACCTCCTCCAGTCGATTTGGAACGCCATCCATTATGTCCTGAATATCTGACTGCGGTATATTCCCCCACTCTTCGACCACAGCAATCTTCAGCTCATTAATGGAGGAAGGGGCTGCAACCCGACTTCATACCCGCCTTTTAAGATTTTCCCAAACATATTCGATAGGGTTTAGGTCCGGGCTTCGCGCTGGACAGGGTAGTCGTGCTATACCCACGGCATCAAGGTACACCACTCTAGCAAACAAAGCGTTATCATGCATTAAAAGAAAATCTTGTCCAATAAATTAGGTAAAAGGGATGACATGAGATTCTAAGACCTCCTTCACGTACCTCTGAGCATTTACGCTGCCTCTTTCAAACACAACCAACTCTGTACGAGCCTCATAAGAATAACCACCCCATACCATTACTGAGCCACCTTGATAGCCTACTGTTTTAACAACAGCACATTGTGCAAACCTCTTACCGGGGCATCGGTACACGCGCTGGCGTCCATCGGGACCTCTTAGAGGTACTCTGGACTCATCAGAGAAGAGGACGTTCTTCCATTGCTCCATGGTCCAGTTCCGTTATTGTTGAGCAAATCGAAGTCTGGCTCTTCGGTGCTCTGTGGTCAACGCTGCAACTCGAGCTGGCCGGAATCCAGTCAAATTACGCTCTGCAAGCCTTCTTCTTATAGTCCGAATGCTTACGCTTACATTTCGTACTTCATATAGGCGATAACGGGCTTCGAGAGCCGTAGTGAAGCGATTTCTTAGAACGTTGGACACGATGAAGCGGCCATCTCGTTCAGAAGTGCACCTCCTACGACCTTGTCCTGGTCTTCTAGTGTCAGATCCAGTTTCTGTGTATCGTCGGATGGCATTACGTATCGTGGTTCGAGGATATCGGCGTCATACGGCCTATATGACGCTGGCTATATCCAGTATCTAATAGCGCCACCGCTCTAGCTACACCGGCTGCATCCAATGGCATTTTATTGAGTAAAGAGCAACTATCAAACCCTGACGCACCTTATGAACCAAGAAATGTGTCTAAAAACTTCACCGGCAATACTTTATTTACTATGAAAACAATAAGTTGGAAAGTCAATTTTCGACTATACTCTATAAAAGAGACTCGCACTTGAGGGTATCTTTGAAAACGGGGCAAAAATTGTCTTAATTTATCATAAACTACCCACTTAACAAATGGTCATTCAAATTCATAAGCGTTTAGTGATTGTAAACAAAGTTACGTCGCTTTAACCTGGTGGGCGGTTAATTGTGCCTCTGAGTATGTTTTATAAGTTTTCATGAACATTTCACATAATAAAAAAGATAATATATTTTTTTTCAACTATAGTAGGTACGATCTTAGTGCCCTGCCCTTGTTGGTCGTCTAAAGTTTTCCATTTTCACCCCACGTTTCAGTAAGTAGTATGAAGATTAATCGAGCTTAATTTATTATAAAACTATTAAATAAAATTTTTGACTGTTTGTAAAATCATAGAAATTATTTGTTGAAATACGACATAATAAAATAAATAAGTACTTAATTTTTCCTCACCTTTCCATGTCTTATTTGTACGGTACTGCCCCTGACAAAGTGGTTTTAATGGAAAGAGTTTTTACAAAAAAAAAATAACAAAATATAACCACCATTTAAAAAAGTCTCAGAATGAGTTAAAATTATTTTAAATATCACAAACATTCTCGTAGGCGGCTACGAGCTGTACTTAGCGTAGGCATGACGTAGGCGTTTCGCTACGTAGCAATGCTGCGACGGGGAAAACGGGGAGGTTTTTTGTGGGTAGTGCTGGCTTTGCTGGTAAGTTCCACATAGCCACCATATTTTAAACACATTATTATATTGGTTTGAGAATATTTCATTTTTATTTCGCTCTATTGTTTTTCAATGAAGGAAATAGGAGCTTAGTTTTATGCTCTCACCCATTATACAAAAGGCAACAGGACTGTTATATTTGACGATACGTTTGGCTCAGTTTGTAGTAACCTTTCTTACTTTGCAAGCGGTCGCGGAATCGAGTCCCGCTGGAGGCATTCATTTGTGATGAGCACGAATGTTTGTACTCCAGTCATGGGTGTTTATATTTATAATATGTATGTATTTAAAGTTATATATGTGTAGTGTATGAACTATCTGGTATCCATAACACAAACCTCGTAGCTTACCATGGAACTAGATGGTGCTGTGTGTTAATGTCCCAACATATTTATTTATTTATTCTGTGCGATGGTAGTACTTCTCTGACTGTAGCATCCTATTCATACTAACACCATATGACACAAAAACGTTGAGTGTAAATCACCATTTTATTTGGAGTTGTCTACAAATGCTTTTGAAAATGTGTCTTATTAAACTTTAAAGACATTTCGTGCCATTTATCACTCCATTCCACTTTACCTACACTTTGCTGTACAACATGGCTTCTTACAAACTTACTTCATGTGAGTATTGAACTTACGATCCTTGATTTTGTATTTCAACTTTATAAAAGCTTGCAAAGTTTGCTTTGAGCAAAACATTTATTGCCAACTTTATAATATTACCTTTAATATTAACCCAATTCAAAATACAAGTAATATAATTTAAAGAATGGACAAAATGATATAGAAACAATAGAATTAAATGGCTTCTAAATAAATGGTTATGGAGGACGTGATAGTGCAAATATTGCTACAAATGCAATTTACTGGACAGTTTTACTGTATATCGAAGTAATGAAATGAAACAAATAAAATAGAACATTCACTCCTGGTTGATCGGTGAAACTATATTAAAATAGATAACTTTAAATGCTTCGAATCTAGGTTAAAATTAAATGTTATGTTGATTAAACTAAAGATTTATATTTAAATCACTAGATGGCACTGTGCTCTGTGATCAAGCTAATAATAATACTTTCTTAATCTAATAATAATCATTTATATTCCGTAATTATATTCTAAAGCTAATAATAATTTATATTCCGGAAATATAACATCTGCTTTTATGAACCTCTATTTTATATAAAAATATTACACTTTAGCCATAAAGGGTGACCTTGTTCCCTTAATCGATAGTTCCATATACAGTGTATATCAAGTGAGCCAGAATCTAGGACGATGAATGCTGAGCGACGGCATCCTGTGCTGGATTTTAATTTTGAACAGATGTGGACAAATATCGTAAAAAATATTTCATAATATGCTGAGTGGTATTGCTTTTTTAATTCTGGCTGAAACTTCAAAAAATAGTAGGTACTTAATTAGAATGTTTTTATAAAAAAAAACAAGTTTTTACATAGAAATGCTTAATTTTGCCCATTTTTATGTTTTTTCTAATTGTTATCCCCAATTAGCTTAACATGTAATAATATAAAATATATTTTTGTGATGGCTTTTAAGAGCTCTATTAGATATTGAACATTCGACAGGTTTGAAAGAAAAATATTTTGATTAGACTATTTGGCTCTCGGCAAGGATTTCAAAAACCCAATATATTTTTTTAATAATTTTAATATACTTTATGACACTCGCACTATCCAGACGAATCGAATGACGTATTTTTTTCGGGCATACATACATATATGTAGGTCAAACACATAACTCTTTTTGGCTTCACCGCAGTCTAGAAAAATTTTGGTGAGCAAATCCAAAAAATAATCATTTAATACTCGCCCTCAGGCTGCTCAAACAGTTGACCATACTAGACCTTAATTTAGTATAATATACACTTAATTGGACATAATGTATTTTAATTTACAGGCTTCAACTTATATTATAGCTATATAATATGATTATTAAAAAAAAATATTTATTTACAGGTAAGCAGTCCTACACAGTATTTTTGGTACAGAACAACCCTCCAGATATCCGAAGACATCAACTATCCTGAATCCTTTAATTACAAAATAGCCCTCGCGCTTATAATTGCCTGGATTCTTGTCTACATGTGCATGATCAAGGGCATCGCGTCTTCTGGAAAAGTAGTATACGTGACGGCGACGTTTCCTTACATTGTCCTAGTCATTTTCTTCTTTAGAGGAATAACCTTGAAGGGAATGGGAGATGGCCTGGTCCATCTGTTTACTCCAAAGTGGCATAAAATTCTAGATCCTGTAGTCTGGCTCGAAGCCGGCACCCAGATATTCTTCTCTCTAGGCTTAGCCTTTGGAGGTCTTATTGCATTCAGTTCATATAACCCAGTCGATAACAACTGTTATAGAGATGCAATTATGGTGTCAATGACAAACTGCCTCACATCCATGTTCGCTGGCATCGTCGTCTTTTCAATCATAGGTTTTAAAGCGACCATGGTATATGAAAAGTGTTTAGAAATTAGAAATGCGACACTGCTCGAAGTGTTTGGATCGGCATACAGATCTATGACATTTCCTGAGGCGGGACAAATCGTTACAGTGGACTTAAATGGCAATCTAACAAAATTAATAATGCCAAGCTTACCCGAATGTGATCTACAGAAGGAACTTGATAATGTAAGTATTTAATTGAATTTGTATTTTCGTTATGATAAAAAGTAAGGGTAGGGGTTTCATCCTATAATAATAATAAATAATGTATAGATACATTTTAAATTTTATTATAAGGGATTAACAATTCTCATGGCTCTACCCGGGCTCGAATTCAGAAAGTTTCCTCATTTTATGCTACAACAGGCACGTCACCACTAAACTAAATATAATATTCAGTAATAATACACTTTATGTCGTATTTGTCTGATAAATCATTTTAATCATTAATTTTGCTGGTCCCAAATAATACACAGTGGTTCATGTTGCTCGACGATAATTAATTAGCACCCATCAAGCGATAATTAACATAGTGGTTTGGAACATTTAGCTTAGGATGTTTTAATAAACCAACCTTGTATTATATTTATATTATACTAGCGACTCACCCTCGCTCCGCTCGGGTTCGTTCCTAGGTACGTTTTAACGGTTAGTATAGATTTCTCAAAGATGAGATATTTTCCCGCAGTAAAAATTATCTTACACTTTGACCCGGATAACCCGCTATCATCATACCAAATTTCATCAAAATCTGTCTAGTGTTTTTCTCGTGATGCGTTCGATTCGATCCGATTGCGATATACAGACTGACACACAGACAAACATTCTAAAAATTATAGATTCGGCCTCTGTGTCAATAATAATGACTATTTCAATAAAATTTTCCTAAAAATATTTTTAACTTGGCATGATCGATGATAAAATTTTAATCCATTTTTCAAGTACATACTGCAATCCATTAAACTGGGCATTTGTGAAAGTAAAAAATATAATAAGTAGTTGGTATAATAATAGAGCCGTAAAAATGAACACTAAATTATAAATAAAACAACAACAACTAAATTATAAATAAAAGCTCGTTTTTACAAAGTCTACTCTAAACACGTAACCAAATTACCGTAACGTAATCAAATTTTAAAAGCACATTCTATCCTACGAGTACGTATAGATATCGCATCGATTTAAAAATATAAGTACTTAAGCTGCGGATGATGAGACAATATTTTGCCTGCCTGTCACAGATCCTGAGGCCCTGGATTCGAGTCGTGCGTCGGGCCAAGTTTTGTTATTGAGTATTTCTGCCAAGAAATTCTCATGTAAATCTTCCAATCTAAATAAACCAAAATGTAAATATTACTATATGGAATAAGTATACTTTTACTTCAACATACGAGTACTTATTTGAAATACACTTTTCATGTTTATTAACATTGATTGGGAGGGAATGAAAGGGATTATTGCCCTCTCATATCCTTTACAAAGCTTTTCTGATGACTAAGAGAGCTTAGCTCGCTCAATTTAAGCGTTCAATGTTGCGCTTAAATTGAATGTTCAGCTTGTTTTGGTCTTAATATGGATACTTACTTGTCTAATACCTATAAGCGAGCAATTGTTGTATCTTTATTTATTTATATATATCGGCGATCTCGGAAAAAGCTCTAACAATTTCGCTGAAATTTGGTATGTGGGAGTTTTCGGGGGCGAAAAATCGATCTAGATTAGTCTTATGTCTGGGAAAACGCGGTTCACTAATTTCGCACGCTCGGGATTAAGCATCATGGTCAAGCGGTCAAGGCGTAAGATTGACACTCACAGGTATCCGGGTTCGAATACCGGTCGGATACAAAGTGGCCGCGTGTAGTAAATATTGTGTTAGTTATTTTTGGTACTTTCCTAGTTATATCTCCATCAAAATAAATATATTATAATGGCGAATATTTGTTTTAAACAAAAAAAACTGCGAAGTCATAAAGTACAAAATAATTTATTGTACTTTGTTTGTTATTTATTTATTTGTTATGACATAAGCATTATTTTAAAAAACTAATAAATAATCTTTTAAAAATTACCAACTAAATATAACAAATAATTGCTATACCGATTATTTTTGGACTAAAAAACCCCATCTTCTTTTCCAGACTGCATCGGGTACAGGATTGGCCTTCATAATATTCACAGAAGCTATCAACCAATTCCCAGGAGCCCAGTTCTGGTCAATCCTCTTCTTCTTAATGCTGTTCACCCTCGGCATAGATTCGCAGTTCGGAACACTAGAGGGTGTGGTGACTTCCATTGTGGATATGAAACTATTTCCAAATCTTCGCAAAGAGTATTTAACTGGAGGTCTATGTCTACTCTGTTGCTTATTGTCTATGGGATTTGCTCATGGCGCCGGAAGCTACATATTTCTACTATTCGACATGTACAGCGGAAACTTCCCCTTGCTGATAATTGCGTTTTGTGAATGCATTGGAATCGCTTACGTGTATGGAGTTAAGAGGTATTTTTTATATATATTTACCTGTAAGAATATACTATATAGAAATACATACATAAATGCTCCATATTTTCTGTGTTTAGATTTTATTAGTTTTATTAGCGACTCACCCTCGCTCCGCTCGGGTTCGTCCTGAGGTACGTTTTAATGTTTAGTATAAATTTCTCATAGATGAGATATTTTCCCGCAGTATAAAGTATCCTATATGTTGACCCGGATAAACAGCTACCATCATACCAAATTTCATCAAAATCTATCCAGTGGTTTTCTCGTGATGCTTTCCCAGACATATAGTGTCTGTGACGTCATCAACGGATTTGGGTGAAATTCGAAATGAAGATAGGATATATCTGAAACATTTATTATATTTTCCACGCGAAAAAGTGAAAAATTAATAACTTATAAAGCTTAAATAGCATTTAACGAGCTTCTCGGTCATTAGAGCTTTTATCATTTAAATGGACTACTTCCTAATAATTTGAATTAATTTACAATAGCTGTTGCTAAAATTAGCAATAGCCTTCTTATTCAGTTAAATTACTTTCTCGATCCCGTCTTTATTTGAGAAGCGATTAGTATTCAAGATTAGACTTTGAACGGAAGCAGGCGTGAAATATTGTGAAGTTTTTAATTAGGATTTTGCAAGTAGACACTCTGTGCTACTAATTTATAATAAACTCTAATATTGAGTAATTTTTAAGTTATTGGGTTTTACACTCTGGTATTTTCATTACATACAAACTTGATAACTACACTTGGCTCGATTTAAAACTAGAACCCAGGACTCCGGCCTGCAGTGAAACATTCTAGCCACTACAGTTAGATCAAGTTGTAGGCAATTCTTGTAGGTATTCTCGTAATATAGTAGACCATGATTTCTCATATTTTTTTTCTTTTGTGTCAGTGCGAATTGAAATTTATATCGTAGCTTGGAGATAAAACTCGCTACGTAGCAAAAGCTAATTTAAGTTTCGTTCAAGAGCTTTCATGCCATCAACATATATTAATTTTGACACATATAAAAGATCTACCTCTTTTATTTATTTGAGTTTTCATTTGTTTCTTTAGAAATTATAAATTGTGTACAATTTTCTTTGATGAATGAAATAAATGCCTATACGAATTTATTAGAACGCTTTCAATTTATGTAAGATGTAAATCGGTAATTCATTTATTCGGTTGGATAAGTGCTTTTAAATTCATCGCTGAAAGTTTTCAGATAAATTGAATTTCATTAAAAGTATTCAATTGAAAAACGATTTCGAATCAATATTATTAAAGGCACTTTTAAATCCGGCCCTGTACAGTAGGTATGTTAAGTATTTTTTAGATTTGTATTGTAACTCTTTTTTAGCTTACCAGTGGTAAATTTAACTATGTTTGTTATTAAAATATCATAGATACAAACTTATTTACACTAAGGGAAAAGTGAAAATGAACAAATGTTAATTCTTTTAATACTTTCTTAAATTTACGCGAATATTTGACATTTTAAATAAAACTATCTTTTCGGAATTTTTCGCGGGTTTATTTGGATTGGAGAGACTCTCTTGTGACCATAAATGCTGTAAAGCATACGAAATGTCGGGAATCAAAAATCAAAATAAATCCGCGAAACAATCCGAAAAGATAGTTTTATTTAAAATGTTATTTTTTTTAAGCTAACAAATAACGTATGTTAAAGCATAACGTACAAAATAAAAACGTTTAACCCTTTCACCTGTCCCCAGTCTGTATGATGGAATCTTGTACGTTAAATTTGACCCACTTCCCAGTGTCCGATTGAGCTGAAATTTTATTTTAAATATTACATCCTTGTTTGTCTACACAGGTAAATTTCGCGACAAGCTTTAATATCATACAAATTAAAAGTTTATTTTCTTCTTTTTAGAGCATTTAAATAAAAGCTTGTTTTTAAAAATGTTTATAAATAAATATGACACCGTCATAATGGTGTTTCAGCAAAAGCAACAACAAGTAAAAGCTTACAACGCGGAGGTGTTTTTCCGACGCGGTATAAAAAGTGTATCTTTAAAAGCTGTAGCTGTAACAAAGCTTCTCCATGAAAGGTTTAATATCACAAACAAAAAATTCTGTAGTTTTCGACTTGTTATATTATTCACACGTGTCGAAAGGAGAGTGTATTTTAGTGTAACCAACATACACACACTAACTTGTATATTTATAAAATTGATGAAAACTTTTATATATAGGATAGACCGAAATTTTTTTTTCTTGGTTTGGGGGTAGAGTTTGTAGGTTATAAAAAACAAAATGTAAAATTTGATTAGAAAATGACTATATTCATCAATTCTTGAATGTTTTCAAAGATGATCTCTCGAAAAAAGATTTTTTTTATTTTAAAAATCAGTGGGCCACCTTAAATTGTTGAGTATTTTATTTTTCAAAAATGTTGTTTTTTTATAAGCTAAAAATTTTATCTCCAAGCTAAGAAAGACAAATTTATTTTCGCTCCACCATATTATAAAATAACGTTTTTTTTTTATAATGTCAACCGTTACTTACAGATTCGCAGATGACATAGAGTTAATGACAGGACAGCGTCCAGGTATATACTGGTTGATTTGTTGGAAATACCTGTCTCCTCTTGCTATGCTCTCGATCCTCATATCCTCGTTTGCTGAGCTGGCTATGGAAGGCTCAGGATATGAAGCATGGATCAGTTCTGAAGGTGATACTATAAAGAAACCCTGGCCGATATGGGCAATTCTGTTGGTGCTTGTACTGATATTAGCTTCTGTGCTCTGGATACCCGGCTTGGCTATATGCAGGTAAATAACTCTTGTTAATACTGTTAATTTAAACGTCGTTTTTATGGTAACGTTTCTGGTTGGCATTACTATCGTGCCAGAGGTAGTAGATTCGATCCCGTCCGAGGAAAATAGTTGTTTTGTTCGTTTAGATATTTTTCGAGTTTAATAATGTCAAGATGAACATTGATAGTACGTAACTGGAAAAAATAGGTACAAGGAAATATATTTGTATGGATCTATAATCTTCTTAATTTTTTCAGATACTTCGGCATACCTATAATAGATGATGAGGAACGTGCATGGTTTCCAGCAGATGATCTTCGAGATTTCCACGGGATTGAACCCCGACCCGTCTCCGCTATTGAAACTGTACTATTCTGCACTCGACCAGATGGTACCGAAGGATGTTGCTGGCCGGGATGCTGTGAGACAGATGACGAGGAATAAGGAATTATCTGGGTCCGATAACCATAAAATATTTTCTCTCTATAATTATACCTATAGTTTTGTACGCTATATTCAATTTTATATTTTTTTGATATAATTTATTTTTCGTGGGTACGTTATATCAAGAATATTTAAATTTAATAATTTCGTTGTCTGTACTTCCAAATAATTTTGGATTTGTATCTTTTACCTTTTTTATTAAAACTGCTAATTACAATAACTATTGAAAACCTGCTGAATAATATAGGTTAAGATTAACGCATATTAGTGACTTTTATGAAGACTTAAATCAGCGACAATAACTCGAGATAAAATAATTTTTAAACAGTGATTTTTCATTATTATTTATCTTTCAAAGTTATTTTTTTTTATATTATAAGTACACATACAACATACCAGATCGAAAGAAATCTTGACTCCATCGAGGTTAGAGAAATGTTAACGAAACACAACGATTGAGAGAAAATATAGTAGGTACTATTAAATAATCAAATTAGAATTTGTGCTAACTATATTTTTAAAATATTATTTTAGAATTTATTTATAAAAAAATAAGATGTATGTACTTTAGATGAATTTGCAAAAATTTTGTAGAGATCTCCTCTGTTATACAATAATTTACATATATTTTATGAGATTATAGGAACGTTTAACTTTAATAACTTTTATAAAATGTAAATTTATTTACAATCAACTAAATCTTTTTTATAAGTGTGATTTTTGATATGTTGAAAAATAATGTTATGTTAATACTTGGAATTTTGATATATAAGTCTTTAACGAGTTGACAATAATACTAAATGATAATGACAATAAAGACGTTAATAGATTCAAGACTTACATATAACTAGAATGGACAATACATACGCTCAAAAGTAGGTGAGTCTAGTAATTCAATATAAATGTTTGATGTGATATTTCATTGTTACCCTTTTAGAGCTGTATTACGGTAAAATCAGATTTTTTTATATATTTATGTATTATACTTCTTTATCTTATATAAATAGAACAAATAATTTTAAATAGTCACAAAATATATATCTTAATTACAATACTATTATGTAAATTTAAAATTATTTACATAGGTGTTTTTAAGATATTTCCTTCCAAATCAGTTGAACAATATAGAAACCTAGAGACGTAATAATCATTTTATTATATAATAAAATGTCACATATTAATTGTTCTGGAACTGCGACAATATACAACCTATTACGTAATATAAGATAAAAATTAATGATAAATGTTATAAACTTAAAAATAATCTATTATGTAAGCAAACATATCTATTTTATTTTAAATTTCATTTAAAAACTATCAAACATACGTAGATAATTTATTCCAAACAATATAAGTTTCAAGAAAATTCTCTTTAACAGGGTTTTAAATCAATATCATAAATTGAAACTGCGCATATCAGTGAAATATCAACAAAAATATCAAAATGGCAGCTGTAACTACTTATTCGGCCTATAAATATATTTATGGTATATCAAACTACCAATAAGGTTTTATCGGCTCTTCTTGCTATTATGATGTTTTTGCCGATTATGGCTCTTAGGATGAATATATCACTTTCTTTTGCCTATGTTCAGTTACAATCAATTATAAAATTAATTTTATTACACAAGTAAATACTCGTATAATAATTGTAGTGCCGCGTAATATTGTTATTAGCTCAATGATGTTTGTTAAGAATAGTTTCAGAGAAGAAAAATTATAATACGAGTAAGTACTATGTATATTAGAATAGACATTAGAAATGTATGTACTAAAAAACTATAAAAAATGTTCTTTCTGCAGAATGATCTATGACTAGAATGAAAAAATGTATCTTATGATAATATAAGTTAAAATAAGCTTATAGCGACTTTCTACTATCGGGTACGGTTGGGCCATGTTTGCCAATATCTAGCGTCCGTTATCTTAAAATTCAGTCTTGTTAAATAGTTATAGTTTTATTGCTGGTAGTAAAATCAAAAATAAATATCAATATTAAAAAAAAGGCAAAGCTTTTGGTATTATTTTTATAAAATGTGTCAATTAAATCTCTTATTGATATTATATATATTCACAGAGAGATTGTGGCATTATTTCTGCAAAATTATTGCTGTATATGTATAATTTTGAACATTTATTGCCTTACTTTTTGTTACATATGACTTACTTGTTAGGAATGCTTAATAAGCGCACATCGAATCATATTAAGAAGTATTATACGATTAACGAATAATATCCAAATGTTTATTTTGTAGATTAAAAGGCAGTACTTTGTTGAAAATGTAGGATTAAAATAAATATGAAGACAATAACGTAACATGCGCGCTGATGTTATTATATATATATATATATATATATATATATATAGTCAAATCACAAATGTGTATCAGCTGACAATAAAATCATAGATGAACAATAAATATTAAAAAATAAATAACTAGTGCGCGCATAGCCTTACTATTTCATCGCACTTGTCACATTTCGCACAATTTTATAATCGCCATAGATAATTAAGAAAAGGCTGAGAATGGTCTTTTATTGAATATTTTATTTATTTAATAATAATTTTTTTAATAATTAACTTATTTTTTAATCGATAGTCTTCTTATAAAAAATAATTAATGTTCAATTAATAATTGATCCCTACTCTACAGAAATAGTATTTTATAGAACCAAAAATCGATTAAATAGAAAAATATTTAAGGCCAAAGTTATTTCAAGTTTCAAATTAATTACATATATTATATACCAGAGACTCCTTTCTCAGCAACCATTTTATAGTCAAGTGGACAATAATGTAGTGAACTGTTGTATAGAATATTCAAGAAATACTATTCCTAAATACATGTATAATGTTAATCTTTGGATTGCATATCTTGTTGTTTTGTGTACCTATTGTAAATTTTGTCTAACTATTGCGTGTTGATGGTAAATAAATGTTTAAAAAAATATTTTGTTTTATATTTTGAACCTATGAATATAGAATGTTGTATGTATACAGCCCTTTTTTTAATGAGAGGGATCAGGCCATAGTCCACAGGCCAAGTCCGGGTTGGGGATGTATAATAGTTCCGATTATCAGAAGGACTCTACTATAAGAAAATACCTAATAGGTTTGTTAATTTATATTATGATTTTTATTTAGCACTGCAATAATAATTTATTCTCAAATTCAAATATTACTTAAATTAGCTTATAGCGATTACCTGGGTGACCGAATGTTTTTCGGAAAATATATAAAAATGGCGTTTTTTCATGAAATAGACCAGTGTTAGTAGTGAAGCGGGTTTGGATCTTGGGTCTCACACACATCTGATATTTTCATGTGCGAATTATTTTCAACATGATTACCACTTATCTTACGGTGAAGAAAAATATCGTGAGGAAACTTGAATTGAATTTTATTTATTTGTATAGATTAGAAATAATCTAAGAAAGTATCGTGACCTTGGCGTGGTAACCTTCATGTGAAGCCTGCCAACTTAGTGGACTATGGCCTAATCGACAGGCATATTGAAAGAATGTCTACGTACCCGGCAGTAGGACGTTAGAAAGGCTGAATACATCAACACAACACACACAATACCTATATAAATAAACTTACCCGGAACAAACAGATAGACCGACAGACAAAAAAAAAAAATTGTTGTTCTCTTATATTAAGTAACGTACCTATATACTTAAATACACATTTAGTAAAAAGCTGTTGTATAGATTAGAAATATCTATTTTAGGGGTTATTAAACATCATTAAGTAATCTAAATCTAAAGCGCCATCTAATAACATTTAGTTGAACTATTGTTTTCCTAGTTTCTGATATGAGCCCACGACACATGTAAACTTTATTTAATTAGTTCTGAAAACAGACATAAGAAAAATCTTATTTAAAAGGTGAAATAATACTTTGTTAGATTTACGCGAATATTTGAAATTTTAAATAAAACTATTTTTTAATTTTGATTTTTGGTTACCATGCCTTCCTTATAACTTAAACCATAGCTTGGGAACCAAAAATCGTTTAGTAGATAGTTTTATTTAAAAGGTGAAATCTGAATTAGGCTTGAGACGATTATTAATTTCGTAAAACGATATCAAGGCATCATACATTATAAAAATCGGAGATATACGTTTTAAACTTGCTGCGAGTGTTGCTACATGCACATATTATGTATGTCTCCGCGACTGCAGACTGCGTAATACTACGTTCCTTAGTCAACTTTTTCGCATCTTTTTAGTTTTCTTTTTACTCAGTCGGGTTTTTATTTTTATAAATTAATTTAAAACGTACAAATAATCTCCTGAAATCAACCATGGACCAGACATACATGAATGCGTACAGCATAACCCTGCTTTGGGCTTCACTAGTTGGGTTATAATCAGTAGATAACCTTACGAATTTTCGAAAATTTTTATTTTTCTTAACTGGAATTTAAAAATTGATACGCAAATGTAGTAATTCCCGAAATCCCTTTAATTATAGTGATATGGAGTAAAATATTTGAGCATGAACGTATAAACAACACAGTTTATGGTCGCCATCTAAAAGGTTCTGGAGGGACAGCTGCAGAACCAGTTTTCAATTTTCATAGGGTGAAAATTATAATATATAAAGTAGAAATACGAGCAGCGGATGAAGTCAGCAGGATTATGTCAAAGAGAATGTATAATAACCACTACGTTTTGATGATGTTAGTATGTACACAAATAATGATCTTACTATTTATTAGACATACGAGTATGTAATGCCTTGCCTATTTTTAACTTTGTTTTCCTAAAAATGTTTTTTTTTTGTTTTTGTATGTACATATTCTTTTTTTAATTATGCTGGTGAAGAGCGACAGTAGCAGGTTTCTATCTGTTTATGTTACTATATACATAAAATTTAATAAATCTTTAAAAAATATAAAGAACAGGAAAATAAAAAGACGGTTAACTTTATATCTTATATTGTTGTTATTACATACTGAAACTTAAAATGTTTGAACTTACCATCAGGTACACAACATAAGATATTTTAAAGAAAAAAAAACACGTTTTTCAGTGCACATAAATCTAAAGGAATAATGAAAACAAAAAAGACAAAATCTACTAGTGTTGGGCAAAATATGTCATCATAATCAGTCAAGTTATATTTTAAACATTGATTTTCTTTCCATTAAAAAAAGATCGATTTTGATAAGAAAAATTTGTCCAAAAAATTATAGGTATGAATCGCATATCAGTGAACAGAAAGCTAGAGTAAACGCTTAAATGATTAATCAAAGTCCCGATAACGCATCTTAAGAACTAAGGTTCATATGGTACAGCGGTTCATCTAAATAAATTTTAATGTATAATTTAATTCTACTCATAAGAATCTTATGTAGTTGAATATATCTGAATTCTAAACTAAAATATTTTATGAAAACAAATCATTAATAAGTATTTGACATTAATCAGTCTATGGAAAAAAGGCAGTACTCTTGTCTATGACTCAATATGTAACATGTACAGATTAAATATAGTAATATTGTTAACAAAAATCGATTCTATGAACCGTTTTAATGTAAGCTATTAATGAAAAAAGTAATAATAATCTTTTTTATCCCTTTTCCCTTACTAGATTATAGAGGACATACATTTATTTTTCAGTCAGTAAGTCCAGCTTATCCAAAGTAACACAAATGATTATAATTTTTTCTAGTTTTGTTAACACTATTTTTCTAATAAAACCTAATAATTTAACTAAACAATACAAAGCTATGTGTAATTGACAGATGTCTGTATTTTTTTATAGTTTTACTATTTTATTAATAATAACTATAATTTAACTTTTCAGTTACAAGAAAAGTTATGGTTAACAGTCTTATTTTATTAATTATTGTTTGCAACTATCTTATATCTCACTATATTTTAGGTGACAATAACTTTGTAGAATTAAAAAAAAAATAGTTTGATAACATGTCTTCTAAAACCAACCATTGTCTATATATACCAACCAAACATTGTCTATATACCAAAAATATGTGCCACAATGTTTATAATTTATTTAGGTAGTAAGTTACCACAAAATTACTTTAGTTCACTTTGCAGTAAAGAATAGAATTGTCACTATTTCTGTGATGTAACATTTAACATGTAACACTTGCCTGAAATAAAAAATAAAAAAAGCAATAAGTTATTCTTACATCCATTAGGCAGTAAATTAAAGGATCCATTTTTTCCATGTTTGATGAAGTATGGTAAATATTGACATGTTTTAAATGAATCTTGTATAATGGCACAGATTCTTAACACCAAAACACACAGATTCACACCTAAAAAAATATTTAAACTACCATGGGCCTCGGAAGGGTGGTGCAAGAGGCCCAGAGGGTGCACTTGTACCCCTCTGCCATGAAGAAAAATATATAGAAAAGGTTAAAGAAATAAAATTGTATTAGTAAAATACCTGTTTAAATTTAGATACATGTGTAAAAAAGATGATAAATACGATATGAATAAAAATTATCAAGTTAATCATTTAAAAATTAGTTATTCCTTTAATATAAAGAAGCAGATGCACCCCTCGAAAATAATTCTGCCACCACCCATGGAAACCATTGTAGTGTTACTAAGTTGTGTAAAAATTAACTAAGAATATTATATGTTTACGGGATTATAAAAAGGTATGGTTATGTTCTATATACACTAAAGTCAGATAACTTCTCTATCGGCATTTTGTTTATCAATCTCGGCTTTTTTTACTTTCTTGGCTTTAATATCTGCCATTGTTTGTTCAATAGATCGTAAATCTTTTTTATTTTCACTAGGAACTTCTCCATAGCTTTTATTCATATTTGTTTTCTGAGCTGCCTCTATGGCTGCATCTTGACCAATTAAATGTGCATACTTTTGTTTATAAAAAGTCCCACTTAATTCTACTTTGCCATGTTTACGTTTTCTAGTCTTTTCTTCTTCGTTTTCTATAGCAGCTAATTTCTCCATTTCCAGGCGTTTTTGTGCCATTTCTGCTGCTTTTTCTTCATCCCAAATACCTCCTGCCCTACGTACTGTCAGTTCATCTTCGGATGGTCCCTTGTCTTTTAAATAAACTACACAATATCTATCAATGCCTTCCTGGCCAAATGAATATACTTGAGCTCCAGCTGTAGTTGCAACATCTCTTATTACTGATCTATACATTTGATCCATGGGATCAAATTGCAAATATGGTTTAGTTCCATCCTGTATGAAGTTACTTACTTTTTCTTCAACACGAGCACAAAATCTGTTAAGTATATTCTTTTCTTCTTTATGTTTCTTTTCCAATGCTTCTTTGTGTTTCTTAATTGCTTTCTTTTGGGCTTCACTTGTTGATGGAGGTTTCTGCATAGAATTTAAAATAGAGCCTAGTAGGTCCATGTTTATATTTCGTTCTCAGAACAAAAGGATGTATAAGCTATTATTTCAGGTATTTTCTTCTGCCAATCTGATGAAATTTTAAAATTATCAACTAGAGACTGTGTATTTAGGCCCTTGAAAGCAAGCACACTTAATGATGTTTCAATTTGTGCAGGTACTTGTCCTCCAAAAGTAAGGGTTTCTTCAGCAAATTGTAGGATTTGTTCAAGAGGTGGCTGGAATGGAGTCCCCTTCACAAGTAAGGTTTGTTGGCTAAGATCAATTTCTTTGACACTTCCCAATAAACTTTTGTGTTTACTACAGAGCTGTTCAAATATCTCATCCACTTCAGTCCTGGAAAGATTAATTATTATTAAAAATAACTAACAAATAATATATATGTTTTATATTAATACACTATTTTCACAAGTTTAATATATTATTATACTCACCGTTGTCTTTGAATTTCTTGAACTTCTTCAGAGATTAGGTTATGTAAAGACGATAACAATTTACTTTGCAAACCTACAAACTCTTCCAAAGGCGTTCCAGTTAACGTAGCCCTAAAAATAAAGAATGTAAATATAAAACATATTCACGTTTTGCATTACAAATCCATAATTAAGAATAATCTTACTCTTTTATGCTTTTGCACCTACGAATCACTTTATTAATAGATATTGCGCAGTTTTGGCAGATTTTCAAACACGTTTTGGATGTATTATAAAACTCTTCGAAAAAGGAAAAGTAGTCAATTATTTGTTTTTGTACTTTTGTTTCCATTATACGAATTCAATTGCATGTTTATTACTTTTCTCACAACATAAAGCAATAATTTTTAAGTGTTGACTGTTGACCTTGTAGGTTTGTATCAGTGTTCAATGTTGCCATTCACACGAGTCAACGTCCAACGACGAATTTATATATGCAGCAATATACTCTATGACAACGAATCACGAAATGATGATTGAAGAATAGTATCGTATCGTACTTAGTTTTGCCCCTCGATAGTCAACTATCGATAGCATATAGATAGTTAATCGATAGTGATCAATAGTTAGAATATCGATAGTTCTTTCGATAGTATCGATACTATCGACAGATGGAAATGTGATAATACTATTGACGGACCACAATACTATCGATACAATCGATAGTATTGGTGCTCACAAATTATAAACTATTGATAGTATCGATACAATTGAAGTTTCCAAATAAAATAATATCGTTGGTATCGATGCTATCGAAACTATCTATAGTTTCGGCTATTGATAGCAGCTCATTTTTCGATAGTATTGTACACAGTTCACTGGTGGCAGTAAACAAATTGATTTTTTTATACTAACTTTCATCTAATTACATTGCTTATTAACTTAAAACTTACCTAATACTATCGAAAAATTAACAACTATCGATGGTCCAAAACTCAAAATTATCGATAGTATAGATTCTATTAATAGTATTTTTTTTCAGAAGTTTGATAGTATCGACAATTCATTAGTTACTATCGATAGTATCGATATCATTACTCTCTATTAATAGTATTGTCGCATTTCTAGCTATCGATACTATCGATAACATCGATATTATCGATATAGCTATCGATATAGTAGGGCTGTTTTGGATGAAAACTATCGATAGTGAACCTATCGATACTTCGGCAGCTTAATTTGTAAAAAAGATAAATAATTAAACCTTGGATTTTATGACAGTCATTGTTTTTTTAAGTTAAACATTCGTTATTCTATTGTAAGAGATATGTCTAGTAAAATTTTATCAAAATCGGTTCAGTAGATTCTGTGTGAAAGCATAAGAAACATAAAACCTCACAAGTTTTCGTTTAAAATATTCGTAGCATTTTTTAATAATAGCCATATGAATAAAAATTGTTATATAGCTTACATTAATAAAATTTATGGTATGTGATGAAAATTGACATTATTATATTCGTTATGGCTAGTTTATATAATAAAATAATTATTAATCATTTAACCCTGTTGGACACTTTCTAGTTTCATTTCTTGCGGTACACCAGACCAAAGAGAATGTAACCACAACGTTTTACGGTAAACCGGTAGAGTCACAAGTGCGGCAGTCAGTGTTGCCGCTTTTAATATTTCGTTTTCATCTATTAGATATTGAGTATTGACTTAAGAAAAACCGGAACGTAATATTTAGAAAGGTTATTTTTATTTTAAGAGATAAAATAAGTATTAAAAAGGAAAATTTAACTCTAACTAATTATAAATATAAATTATGTTTCTAATTTGTTTTCAGTGTGTATAATTATGAAGTTGGGAAATGCTTCACAATATTGAACCAATAAACGAGAATACCGCGCATCGAAACGGCGCTTATTTTCTTTCTGCAGTGCGCGTTTAACTTCAGTATAAATCTGTCTTTGATAGAGGGATAGTGTAAAACTCTATCGCGTTTTATTTCGATTTCATTTACGCTATAAACCAATATAATTAAGTGTTTTTGCAAATATTTATGACAGTAGTGTAATAAAAAAATAGGTGTAAATGATGAAGCTTCAATGCATATTGTATTCTAGATAAAATTGTGATTTTGTGAAAATGAATGGCAAAATGCATAGTGAAACGGGCACTTTCTCGCCCGATGGCATGCGAGCCGAAATATTAAATCCATTTGTCCATAAACTGGAATTAGATAATACATATGACAAAATACGGGTAAGAATATAATTAAATCATATGTTTAAATCTTAGGTTTTAAAGAAAAAAACAAGACGTATCGTCTGCGCAAACTCTAAAAGTCGAGTTACATGTGCCGTAATGATTTTATATTTTATTTTAATCAAATAGTTTATCGCATCTTTGCTTTTATTAGATGCAATAATATAAGTTTCTTAATTATCTATATTTGTGTTCATTCCACACTTTCACCGGCTTGTTTTTAATTAAAATAAGAGCTACTATAACTTACTGTTTATGTAATCAGTGTTGCATTGAAATACAAATTATAATTAAAAAGTATTTATATACTCGATGCGGCGGTCATTGTATGCAGCAAATAAATAGCATTTTCAATATTGCTGTTACTTTTCATTAAACATAACAAAAAAAGTTCATATTTTTAATTTTAACATTCATTAAAATGAAATATTGGGAATGGAGATTGATTTATTTTTGTTTGCATATATAATAAAAAAATATTTTAATACAATATTTAAAAAAATATTTTAATACAATATTAAAAAAAATATAAAGTAGGCATAAAATATATACAACATAGGAAAACGTTAAAAAATATACAAGTAGGTACCTACAGTAGACCGTAATATTTACTAACAAATGAAAGTGCTACTAGAAGTTAACCTAAATGTGCTTAGAGTATTATTTTTCTCATACCTTTCATCTTGATACAAACCGGTTGTCTATTATTAAATAGAAGAATTTTGTTGTGACCAAACCGGTAGTTTTCTTTAAATGTTTTATATTAGCCTCATTTCCGAATCTTTACATATAAGAAAGCGATCTTTGCTAGGTCTATGGGTATTATTTTCTTTAACGGGCTAATCTCTAAAACCAAATTGCGAACATTTTATACAAGATTTTACTCAGCTCCACTACCTTTGAAGAAGCGGAACAATCTTTCTATACAATATACATATAATGAAAGTGTACCTGATCGCTGTCTGTGCATGGAAGATATTTGAGAAAAACTATTATTGGGGGTGTTCAATAGTAAAATCCAAAACTATGATTTTTAGAATTTTTATCTGTTTGCCTGTGCGTTTGTGCGCGCTAAACTCAGAAACGGCTCAATCGATTTGGGCGCGGTTTTCACTAATGTACTGGTAAGCTTTACTTAATATTTAGAATTTGATTTATTTCAATCGGTTTATTCACTTGGGGACGAATCCGAGCGAACCGAGGGTCGTCGCTAGTTATACATAAACATTTACGTACTTACATATATATAAGCGACCCCAGCGGAGCCTCGAGCAAAATTGCATGTTACCAAAATGAAATAGTGTAGTAACTTTAAATGATCAATTGATTTAATCGGAAACCTTTTCAGTATAAAAAATTCATATCTATCCATATACTATCTTCAGACTAAAGAATTATATAGACGGAGCTCGCCAAGAAAAATGTGAAAGTCTAAAATAGTAACGTGATTTTCTGTTTATGCTATTATCCTCGGTTTTGCCATATATTATGTAGGTTGTATAGGTACTTTCTTCAAAGAATAAGGGAAAATTTATATAGGTATTAATCGTTATTTTATAATTACTGAAAAAATATGATTAATAAAAAAAATACTATACTCCTTTGTATTTAAAAAAAAATAGTTTTCTCTCTCTCCTCCTTTTTAACGTCCCACAGCTGGGGGTGGGCCTCCCTTCAGTACGAGGGGGGATCAGTCCATAGTCCACCACGCTGGCCAAGTGCGGGTTGATGGACTTGAGAAGTCTTTTGAAGACTTGCTAGGTTCTCTCAGACATGCAGGTTTCATCACGATGTTTACCTATACCGTAAGACCGTAATCATGTTCGAAATGATTCGCACAACAAAATGTCAGAGGTACGAGATCCGGGATTTGAACCCGCTTCACTCGGTTTCCCAAGTGAGCACGTCACGACAGAGCTACCACTGCCTTATCATAATTAATTTTTTTTTCTTTATTTTAATGAATTTCGTCATTTATTAGATTTTATTAACATTTATTTACATATCAAATTAATGAATATTCTATTAACATTTGTTTTAAAATACAATACAATATTTTAAAATATTTTTTGGCCTCATATTTAGTTCTATAACACTATGTCGTTTCTTAATCTGAGACCATCTTATGTCATTGTGAGAAAAGTTTATTCGTCACGAACATAATTAAAAAAAAAATCATAACTTTACGTCCTCTAGAGGGTGCCATATTCAATTTAATATAACGTTACATATCCTTATCCGGTGGACGATCAAGAAGCTTCCAACGATGCCTCATTTTTCAAATTATGATAAGTAGTTTAGAAATTAAGAGGGGACCGATGAACATACATACCGGTTAAAATCATTACAACATCGACGTCAATTTATTCAATTAACAGAGGTCACGGTTTTGATAGTCCAAGAACGGTTATATTTTGCTTGGAACACACTACCTACATACAGTTATTTGTTTTTGCCTTCATGCAAAGGGAAAGGAGGGCATATCACTTCTAAACCTACACCCTAAATCAGGTTAAAAGACAGTGTGTCTTGTACGCTTTTACTTAAGTTTTATTATTATAATGGTTATGCTAAGTATTATAAAATGTCTTTATCTAGACTGCTTTCTAGATTTTCTCATTGGTTCAAACTGTATCATTTGGCCAATATCATCTTAAGATGTAGAAAAACCGTTCTATTTACTCGACTGCGCGACACAAAGGAGGGTAATGTGTTTAATAGTCTATGTATGTATGTATGTTTGTTTATTACTATGTGGTGTTCTAGAGACCAAACGCGTGGATCGATTTTGATGATTCATATGTCGTTAGATTCGTCTTGATAACGCGAGTGTAATATGCTATATAAAAATAGTTAAAAATTAAAATGGCATTTTTCAGGAGTCAATTTGTGTGTCTTTAAAGAAAATACCTTCAAAACTAATCGCATCGGTATCAAAATAAAGGTTTTTAAGATGCGATTAAAAAAATATATATAAAACTTATACTTAATGGTTAAAAGTAATTTAGGATGAAAAATTGCTAATTCTGGGCAAGGATGGTATGTTTCCGACTACATAATACTATATATATTTAATAATAATAACCGGCGTTACAGTTAACAATAGATTTCTTAGAAATTTAATTAATTCCTTAGAAATTTACCTGGAGGTGATATTCCTTCGTCGACTTGTTGTCATCTTTTTAGTTAGCTTTTATGCTGTCGGTTTATTTTTTATTTTTATAAGTAATATATTTTTTATTAGATTTCCTCATTGGTTCAATCTGTATCATTAGGCCAATATCATCTTATGATCTAGAAAAACCGTTCTAATTTTATTTCCATCCATCTTGTTTCTAAGTACTTTGTTAAAAGAAAGTTGCAAATTGTTCGTTTACTTATTGATCATTGAGGGAAAGTCGACTCACCGTTATATGAACGAACCTCTACTTGAACGGATATGACGATGCATTATGTAATGTAAATTGACATTTAATTGAGATAGGTTTGCTTCATTCAGTTAAAAGGTATACCGATGTCAAAGTAATTATTCCAACGTATGTTATTTTGAAATTTGTATGGGTGTATACATATATTTGGTTAAAGTACTACTGCTGGGCACGGGCCTCCCTTGAACTCGAGGGCTTCAAATGTCTTTCGAAATCATGCTTCTCAGACTTGCAGATTTTCTCACGATGTGCAGATTTCCTCACGATGCTTTCCTTCACTGTAAGACTAATGGTAATCATGTTGGGAATGATTCACACATAGAAGATATCAGAGGTGAGAGACCTGGGATTTCTTTTTACACTGCATTTGCAGTGTTAACGCACTCGCTTGGGAAAACAAAGAATTATGAAAATCAATTGAAAAATGGCCAAAATATCGCATAACATGTACAAAAAATAGTACACACGTACTAAAAGTTTCCTCCTTTTTTGAATCAATCAAAATAACGAGCTATTGGAAAATTACCAGCACGTTTTATAAGAAAAACATTTTTAAATTAGTTTGTACGGCACACCAAAAAGAAAACGCAGGTAAAAGTTAGGTTTTTGATTTGGATTATTTTAACATTAAAAATTAACGAAATAAGAATCAAATACATCGATAAGTTCAACCAAACAAGTTTATTTTATGTATATAACATTTATAAACTTTCAAGGTCTCATTAAGTCGATTCATTAGACTAATGAAATATATTTTTATACGGATTATATTCGTGCTTCGGAGAGCACACAAAGATGTCCTGCACTCCTGTATCCGATCTTCCGACGGTCGGTCGTGTCGGATTGCTATATCGCCAGTTCTTCTCAGGTCTGAGGCTTCTTCTTTCTGAACTGGTAATAGACTCATGACGTTCAGTAAAAAATTGTAATATTTTAATGCTAAATAAAATATTTTAAATTGAAAAAATATATATATATATATATATACATAGGGGCCCGATAAGGATCCCCTATAATAACTATAATTAATGATATTATTTACCGTAGAGAGATCACCTTATTTATTTGTATTTAATCAAAAATCTGTCAAAAAGACAATGCAAATATCAAAAACATTTTTTATTTTATAATTTAACTAGCGACCTACTACCTAATGGTTTAGAAACGCATAAAAGACAAACGTCCAAATTTTTTTTTTGCGCCAGGAACCTTCGCAGGCGTATACAACATAACCAACCAGAGTTTTAAATAAAACTATCTTTTCGGATTATTTCGCGGATTTATTTTGATTTTTGGTTCCCGATGTTTCGAATGCTTTACAGCAATCATGGTCACGGGGGAGACAAAAGTAATAGACTTCTCAAACACATACTTGTTACAGACAATCAAAATAAATCCGCGAAATAATCCGAAAAGATAGTTTTATTTAAAAAGTCAAATATTTGCGTAAATCTAAGAAAGTATTATGTCATCCAGAGTTTCATCAAAATCGGATCAACAATTTAGGAACGCGTAGAGGACAAACGTACGGACATTTATTTTTATTGATAAAGATAGATAACATAGATA